TCTGGTTATTTTTCTCCTCCACCCCTAACAAATGGGACTGCTTGTGGTTTTAACTGTTTTTGGTGGACTCATTATTTTAACAAAGATTCTCCCATTTTTTTGTGTTTAAATGACAGATCTTACATCAGCGGTTATCCTGTAGCATTAGACCTGCTTCTTAAAGGCTCAACACACGGGAGGCGACATCACTCGCTCTCCGTTCATTTCCTATGGAATTTGTGCGGTGAGGCAACAATCGCTCCCCCTCCTCCAGCCAAGCAACCAGCGAAAATCATGCATGTGAAATTTCGTGCTCGTACACGCAGACGTGCACACGCGAGCTTGTGATGTGACATTTGAAAGTTGACTAATGTTCAACTTTTGTCGCTGTCTCTTAGCATACAACCAATCAGCGAGGGTTTCATTGACTGACCAATGAGCAGAGAGTATCCTACACACTGCAGTTAGCTAACACTTTCACCAAGTGATTAGTAAAAAAGGCAGCTTTGTGGGAATTTGTTGGCGCCAGGGTGAAGTTATCCCGTAAGATTTTTCCTCATAAAATCGTATCTAGTGTGCGTTTGTTTTTCAACATCATTAGCATCACAAGATTTGTTTAGTTTACACGTCCGTAATGCACCCGCTCCTTTTTTTTTTGCAAACCACCAATAACCTTTACAAGAAATAGTAGAAGAACTAATCGAATTTCGTGAAGACAAGTGACCCGACTGAGAGCGCAATTCCCAACGCTGCCATCGCTATCACGTCTCATGTGTCGGGTTTTACCCTGGTTGTGATGACAGCCGTTATTCGCTGTCATTTGTCACTCCCTGTGTGTCGAGCCCTTTACTTGTTTAGTGGTTTAGCATTTGCACTAGGGATGTACCAATATGGAAATTTCAGCCAATATCGATATCCGATATAAATATTGGTGTTACGGCCGATAACGATATTTACCGATATTACACAAACACACAAATTATATTTTACATATACGCACAAACACACTTGGGTCTCTTTTTGATACAGTAAATAAACAACCAGACCTCTGACATGGCTCATTACTTCAGTAAATCCTGGCTGTGCAGTGTAAATATCACTATCATGATCAAACAGATGAACCAACCATCTCCCCTCCCAAAACAGAAACACAAAGCTAAAAAGTGGGAAATCAATATCGGACGTCAATATCGGCCCAGTTTACATATTGGAACGATGCCGATATTCTAAAAAATGACCAATATCGGCCGATACTGATATTAATGCCGATATATTGTGCATCCATAATTTGCGCATCTAATATTTTAGTTAGCAGACTGACGTTAGCAAAGCAACGTTTTTAGTTGGCTGTGCCTTTTTTATACCAAGACGTTGACTGTAACTGTTCACTTTTCTATAAATGTTCTTACCAATCTGAAGGACCTGAGCACAGACAGGCCTTCTACGTTGGCCAAGCCAAGCTCCATCAGACTCAGACTAACAATGATGCCATCAAAGATGTTCCAGCCCTCCTGAAAGTAGTAGTATGGATCCAGGGCTATGATCTTGAAGCACATCTCTGCTGTGAATATACCAGTGAACACCTGAAGTGGGGACAGAGGAAAATAAAAATCTGTCATTAAATCTGCATTAAAAAGAAAAAAAAAGTATATATATATATTTTTTTTTTGTTTGTTTTCTGATGTAGTAAACAAATGCTTGCCAGGTTTCCAACAGAGAGGACGTTGTCAAACTGGCTGGTCATGGGGTAGTGCTCCATGGCCATGAACAGGGTGTTGAGGACGATGCAGATGGTGATGGTCAGGTCCACGAATGGGTCCATGACCACCGTGCTGACCACGTCTTTGATTTTCAGCCAGGCTGGACAACAGTCCCAGATCAAACAGGTGTTGGCGAACCTATACCAGCAGGGCGGACACTTCTGTCTGGACTCTTCAAGCTCTGAAACAAAAATGAWTTAAGATGTTTTTGTCCATGTCTTCTCTCAAAAATATTGTTTCTACTAGAATTTGACAACTGGATGAATATAACCAACCATCTGATCAGCTGAGTTGGTTTATTTGGTTTTAAGGAATGACCTGAGAGGACTGTAATACACCTGGGTCGTTTCAGGTGTAAGCTCATCTGTTTATAGGAAGCAGATTGTCTATGTCTCTTTCAGGTGTCTGACAGCCTGTTTTCTGATCCAGACAGGCTGGTCCTCTGTCAGATATAGGGATGGGTACCGAATTCGATACTGTTTTATGCACAGACCGAATTCTGTCGGTACTACTGAGAACCTATTCACGTAACATCAAACGATACCATGTTTCCGTACCTAAACGCATCATTGCAGCCGGTTTGGCGTAAGAGTGGTGAGTTTTCCATGCTTGTCCTGAACGTAGCATTGCGCAAGAGCGTAATGACGTCATCAGTCGCTGGTTCAGTAAACAGAGTTCAGTCTGAACGTAGCATGAGAGCGAGCCTCGCAGCTCCTGGTGTAAAACTCACTGAACAGACCGCCTCTGAATTATCTGGTGGATTAATTATCTTGTGAGCAC